CGAGTGAATTAATTTCTTTTCTTTATCATTTTCTAATAATTTAAATGTGTGTTATCATTCAACATGATCCATGATAAATTCTTGAGGTGGGAGTTGATTTTAAAATTTCTCGCTTCCACTTAAAAGTAAGTGAGAGGAAAGAATCAGGAGGAAGATATTGAATGAAAATGAATTCGAAATTCATTTAACATCTCATTATCTCTCAAGATGAATCTCCAAGTTTCAGTTCATCTTTGAGTATCATGTTCATTCATGGTGAGCTTCACATTCAGTGGTTAGATATTCAATTTAGTTACCAAGTCAAGGGTAAAAAAAGACAATGGAAAAAAGTAAGAAAAGTTTCAATGGAATCAAATTGTGACTTTATCCTATCAGAATTTACCATGAAAACATCAAACTTAAATTTTCAACTGTTTCCGGTCAGAAAAGAAATTCAGAAAAAGGAAAGTTCCATACAACCTATTGTCATGTAAATACAATGATAAACATTGAAAGATTCATTATAAATTGAAATTCCTATTGGAAGGCAACAGAAAATGAACTTGTCAACATTTTCATGAGCAGAGCAAAAAATAAATAAAAAAATTCATTCCAAACTCATGGTAACTGTTCATTTCAAGTATCAATTACTGTCCAGTAAAAGTTTGACCAAAGGAATAACAAAATTATGAAAAGATAACAAAACTTTCTCAAAGTTTTCCCCTGAACATTTATCATGAACAAGAAAAACTCACTGTCTCTCTCATCTTCCCTCCCTCCACCGTAAACACAATCATCCAGTTATTATATTAATAACGGTAATAAAAATAATGATACATTATCAGAGGTATATTTTTTTACCAGTTACTGAAGATACTCAGGTAATAATAATAATAGTTGATGATACACAATAAAGAACCGTTATAATATTATCATCTTCATCATCATCATCATTGTAACCCAACACACACCGAGAGTAAATCAAATTCAATATATAAAGATTGAACTTTTTTTTCAACCAATCAACTTGGTGTTTACAAAGTATAAAAAAAATGAATGAAAAAACTGATCAGTTTGAGGAAATTGTTGATAACATTTTTCATGATGATGAAAATTCAGATTCAGCATTTAAACTTCACCATATTTTCATATGGGTATTCATGTGTTCATTGTTAATGATTATTTGACACGATATTTATCATGATAATGTGAATATGTGTTGAGTTTCAAGTTTGGTCCATATGAAATTTTCACATTTGGTTAAGGTTCATTGGGAGCTGAACAATATCATGATTATCATGATGATGATGATGATGATGATTGTTGCGGGAAATTGGAGTAAGATAAATTACAATTAGGGTTACAATTGATAATCATGATAATAGGTTGATTTATATAAATTGTTTGTAAATAATAAGGTTAATCTCCTCTGATGACTAATATACTTGATAATAATCAATGAGAATGATAATATCATCATGAGACTGGGAGGGAGACTGAGAGAGTGAGGGAAGGAGCATTTAAAGAGTTATGAGTAATATTATTACATGATGATAATTGATGAAGACTCTAAATCGATATGATATAATTTTCAGTCTAATTTGTTGATTTAATAAGTCAAGTAAATGATAGAGAATGGAAACATTGGCGGGAAAATTGATTTTCTACTATTTTTAGAAATCGAAATTGTTTTTTTCCTTTTTTATCATTATTCTAATAATAATACTAATGTTTTAACCTTTCATATTAGTCAAAGTTTTATTTGAATGAAATATAATTCATTGTATTGTTGAAGCACGAGAATTAATTGTCACCGAGTAGAAAAGTGGATTGACTGAACAACAACAACCTCTACAAATGATAAACCCTGAGGGCATGAGACGAGATGAAATATTCAATCGGATTTCCGTTCTCATATTGGTGGTTTTGAGGGTGGTAAATGCTCAGAGTTGAGAATTGAGATCAATGTCACAAATTTCGACTCGACTTGGAGTAAAATTTTCTCTGAGACATGAAACTTGCACTTGACTTACAATTCATGACAAGTCAATTCATTGTCAAAGTGATGATAAGTTCCAACTCACCTGGAGGCGAGAAAACAACAGAAAATCCACCCCACCGATCAGAGAAGTACAAGCAAATCTAAACAAGAAGATGATCAATGTCAATGAATAAGAAACAAGAAAAAAAACTATTCCATTCAATCCTTTGATTGATGATATTCATCATCATCATCATATATTCATAGAAATCACTTTTTATACTCTATCACATGTTTCATGATAAAAAGTTTCAATCATCGAGTTTGCCTGTGAAATGAATAGATTGAAATTTTCATTTTTCTTTTTTTTTGATGGATCGTCAAGAACTTTTTTCTTCCCCATTTTCTACTGAAATTTGAAACTTTTTCTCGTGAGTTTAAATGTCACATCAAAGCAACAGCAACAACTCACAGTTTCACGGATTCTCATGTGAAATATGAGTAACATAAACAAGAATATCATGCAAATCAATAATTCAATTTTCATCATGAGAAAAATTCAATTGTCATAATGAAAAGTGTTTTGTCTTTTGGGTGTAGGAAGAAAAAAATATTAACCCTTTATGCAAATTCAATTGAAAATAGTTTTTCAAGTTAATTTGCATAAAATTACAGGATGATAAGAGAGAGAGAGAAGTTATGAGATGATCACTCACTCTCTCTCTCTCTTTCTTTCTCGCTCTTCAACTGAAAAATTCATACAATTCAATTGAATGATAATCATGAAAGAGAAAATGTTTTCTACTGTAATTGTGATAGCTCATTGAATGTATGAACTCATCATTTTCATGGTTGACAATTGAATTCAATCACTTTACCATGTTGATAATTTTTCACTCTCTCAATTTTCATGCAACTGTAACTGGTTCATGTTTAAAAGTTTCATCTAATCAACTTGATTATTCCCATGGTGCTAGGGGATAAAAGTTCATGATCATAGTTATCAAATTTGCTAATTTAAAGTTCAAGTTACTCATGATAATTTATATTAGTCTATGGTGTAAGGTGAACGTTTTTTTATCCAGGGTTCATGATAAAGTTCATGAAATAATGGAAAATTTTACTGCGAAAATGAAATGCTCGAGTGTGAAAATATATAAATTTCCTTGAGCATTTCAGAACCAATGAGTTTGCTTATTTGTCTTGAGTAATTTCATGAGGTTTCAAAAGGTAAATAATATCAATATATACACAAAAGTTCTGGTTTTGTGAATAAATTTCATCTCGGTTTAAATGTGAATCAATTTTGATCCATTCAACTAAATGAACCTTGAAAACATCATGAAGATTCAAAGCGATGGTGGTAAAGATCAATAAGATCACCAAGGAAAAGGAAAAAGATTGACTGAACTTTTAAGTTGAAATTTCGATTTTTCCAATTTTCTTAAATAATAAATTATTCCACAGAGATAATAATGGTTCAGTTCTCTTTTGCATCTTCATCCTTTAGCCAATTTACTTTTAACTTTATATCAAGAGCTGAGGTGGGTTAGGTGAGTGCAGAAATTTTCAGTGAAAAGAGTCAGAGAAGCAAAAAATAAGCAAAGATCATGAACTCAGCAAAGGTAAATGAACAAAATTGTCAATAATAACCTGAAGATTATCCTGATATCTGTTTATCATCAGAAGCAAAGTTATTGGGATTTAAATAAAGGTTCAGAGCTAATTTATTATCGTATCATGAAAATGAAATGGATTTTCAAGGTTTTAGCCCAGAATAATCAGTGAACCAGAATTTTCTCTCTATCTCTCTCATATTATGTATGATCCAGAACAACAAATAACAAAATAATTTTACAGAGATGAATATGAAGATGAGGAAGATGCAAAAACAGATGAGGAAGATGAGAAAGGACCCAAAATAGCCCATAGATGTTATTATATTTTCTATGCCTTAGGAATATTTCTTCTTCCGGTAGAAATTTTCTTTCTCTCTCGCTCTATCCTTCTTATGTACTTTTGTTTATCTTCCTCTTTTGTCATCCTTCATCTTCATCATTATCCTCTCTCTTTCTCTCTCTCTCTCTCGTTTCGTTCATTCTCATCATTTGGATGATAAAGTTTTTCTTCGTCTTCTCTTCCCATTATATCATGTGTGTAATATTAGATAAGAATTTTTTTCCTACTTTTTCCATGTCTTTTTTTCACCTTGAACTTTACCCTCTGAGCTTATTTTTACTCTGAAGGTTGGGGAGGGAATAGGAAATTTTTGTCTTGTTTGCAAATTGCACTGAGGGTGAAAAAGTATATTTCTCATCTTTGGGTGATGATGATGATGGTAATAATAATAAAACTAACGGTAAATAGTAAAATGATGTTGAAAAAAGAAATAGATGAGAAAGAGTATAAGAAATGAGGAAGATGATGATGAGGATAAAGATGAATGTATAAGAGGAGAGTTGAAATTGACCGTAGGCCATGAAAATTGTTCAAATTCTTTGACGCTTTCTTAATCTTTTTTTCTTGTTCTCTTCTCATCTTTTATCATCTTCTATTTTATATCTATCACTTTATGAAAGAAAATGAAAATTGCAATTGAATATCGAATTTTTTTTCGCTCTTCTTAATATCCATCAGAACTTTTGATTAGTAAACACAGGCACACTTATCTCTCACTCTCTCATTCTCTCTCTTACCCACAAACTAGCACCCAGGGTAATATTGAGGTAGATGATGGAAAGAGAGAGAGAGAGAGAGAGAGAGAGAGAGAGAGAGAGAGAGAGAGAGAGAGGAAGAGCCTTGAAGGCAAAGAATGATGAGGAAGATGATAAATTTCGAGTGAGGAAAAAAATTGGAATTTTTTTATTCTCAAATATCTTATAACCAAATAGTCAATCAATTGGTAATTTTTTTCTTACTTTCCCCGCATTTAACTTAATTGTTACAGTTGATTAGTGTCAACAAATTTTGTATAGTTTTTGTTTGTCGACAATGATAAAGGTAAAAAGACATAAGAAAATAAGACTGAAATTAAACTTACATATTCCTCAAGGTCAAATGCTGCAAAGATAACGGTACTTTTAAGGTGACATTGATTGGTTGTCAATAGTCTTGCCACTTCAAGAAGTGCACTCACACCGGAACCATTATCATTAACACCCGGTGAGAGTAAAACTGTATCATAATGAGCACCAATTAGTATTAATGATTCCTGGTCAGTTCCTCGAGATGACCCTGGTAGAATAGCGATTATATTCATTCCTTCAATGACCGGAAGATTCTAAGGGAATCAATTTGGACAAAAACAAATTCTATCAATTGGACAATCAACTGAACACCAGCATAGACTTTTCCATATAATAAAACCTTCAATCCTAGAGGTCAACCACTTCACAGAAATAAATTGCAATCAATTGATTTAGTTTTAATTGTGAATCAGCAGATGATCAACTCAACACACAATGTAAACATAATTAGAATCAAATTGTAATTGATTAACTTTTTTTTTACTATTCGACAAATTTATCAGTAAAATAAATTTCCAAGGGTCATGTGGGGGAAATTCTGAGATGAGGAGGTTAGATGATCAATTTGAGATCGATGGATGTGATTGAGATAAAACTCGGAAAAGTCTGTAGGCTTGAAGACAAGAGTTCAGAAGATTTTCGGTCCCACAAAATACCGAATACACGATTCTTTTAGGATCACTGAGTTTCTCTATTGTACTTACGCTTGTGTTTTCACTTTCACTGATAATTCTAAAGAATTCAGATTTGGACAATTAAACATAAATTGTCTAATTAAAGAAGGTTGAATTTTAGGAACTTGAGAGATGGATGGATTGTAACACTTAGAAGTGCAGAATCACCTTAATTAAGAATTGAGAGATTAAAGATGAGCAAGTTAACTATTTTAATGTTAAACATTGACTGACTATTATAGAGAAAATTATTCTTTTAGAATAAAAGAAAAGGGGTGACAATTTAGGATATCAATTAATGATGATAAGGGTTACAATTAATAAGGGAAAACAAATTAATCAAATTAACCAAGTTAATCATATTAGTGATGAGGTGAAACTATTGTTACAAAGTAACTCTTTAGTCTCTATGTCTCGACATTATGAACAATATGGTTAACATGTTGAAAAGATAAAAGATAAAATTAACCAAGATAAGTCTTTAGACTTAAACAATGGTAAAAGCTAAAAATAAAAGAAAGAAAAAGAAAGAGGAGAGAAAGAAAATTCGGGTCTCTTACTTTTGTTACTAATTTTGGTCAACTTAAAAGTTGAAGAGATTTAGATAGAAACAATTAAGAAAATTAGTTAATTGAAATTAACTGAATCATCTTTAACTATATCTTTAGGTATAGAATTGAATTTAGATCAATTTCCATTGGTTAATTAGTTGAGAATATTGTAAATTCTTAATCAACTCAATCAGTTAATCAGGATACTAATTAATTAGATTGGTTAAGAGTAATTAAGAAATTTACAACTATAGTTGTGGGAGTGGGAAAACTAATGTTAACAATGGGAAATTAAGAAACAAAATTTAAATTGTTGAATTTATAAAAATGAAAATAAAAAGAAAAGCACAACAATTAACTAATTGTTGAGATGAAGAAAAAGGAAATTAGAAAATTTAAATTGATTCCAAATCATGATAGTGATGGAAAAGGAAGCCTGAGGATTTCAAGATTTTCTACCCTTCAGTCCCCAGCACTTTGATGAAGATACTTCTTCAGGGTTTCCTTTGGAATCCTATTGTGATTTGGTGGTGATGGAGATGAAGATGATGATTGAACTTCGGGAGGAGATGGAGTGTTCGGCCTAACATGGTGTGGATGGAGCGGGTTTTTCCTTGGATCTTGAGAACCAAATGATAAGGGAGGGTCTGAGAGATTATCCAATATGTATTTTACTGAAGAATCCAGGGCTTGATTAGGTAAGGTAGACGATGAGGAAGATCCTGAGGGAACATTTTCAAAAAGCTTTTTCATTTCCGCTTGAGAGACTAATGGATGAACAGTTTCATCGAGTCCAAGCTGATAAGCAACGGGGTTATTGTTTTTTCTTTGGGATGAGTTCGGAGGGTGAACGATATTGAATAGGGTAAATGGTGAAGGTTTTTCATATGATGATGATGTTGGAGGTCTCACAATTCTTGTTGAAACCATTGGTGGAGGTGATGAGGATGATGATGATGATGGAATTGGTGATAGTGCGGGGGAAACGCATTGGAATGATGAGTATTCCGGGTTCTCGGTGATGTTGATGGTATGACCAGTCGAGTGGCCACTTTGCTTTTTTCGAATCTATCAATTCAGTGAGTTTCTTGTGTAAATACGAAACTTTTTCATTTCGCACGTAGAATTGAATAGATTGATTGTGAATTCCACGACCAGTGGACTTGACTTTTTCCTCGATATCTTGCCAAAATGCCATATACATCCTCATAGCGGTAAGAGCTTCGACGGCGGGTGAGTGGGGTCTGTCTCTAATTGTGTATCCACTGAAGATGATGAAAGCAAGGAGAGATAATGAGGCGGGTGTAGTCCGATAGGGAGAGAAATAAACAGTGACATCTCGCATCTTAGGTCGAAGAATGTCGATCTCATCAGGGGAAAGTTGTAGACATCTTAGTAGAGATACAAGTCCAGCACCAACAATTTGTTTAGCACAGGCCAAAAAGCAAAGAACTTGATCTCTAACTGAAGCGAGGTGTTTGGCGAATTTTAAATCGTCTTTTGTTAACCCATGAAAGTGGGTATCCATGAAGTGAATGTCCTTATAGTGGACTAGGGTCTCGTACACGACATCACAGTTACCGTCAATGATAACAATCCAAACGGGATGATGTACGATTTTCCGAACTCCTTCGGCGTTGAAACGAACTATTCGAACATACGAAGCGTTGATCGAATAAACATTGGAAGGATCAGGATGTTCACTGATTTGTTCGGCCAGAAATTCTTTTTGATTTGAAGAAAGATCTTCGACTTGTTGATCCACCAGCGCATTGAAAATAGCAGCGGCTTTATTTTTTCGGTTGACTCGATATTCAAGTCGTAGCGGGTTAGAGGTGGCGGAAGATTTTGTCAGGGTTACCAATTCTCTTAGGGATGGAAACCATTCGGAAATTTTATTTTTAACAACATTTTGCTCTTCCAGGGTCAATCTAGAAAGAGGGTTAATGGCAGTGTAGGGGGTATTTGGTTGACCAGCATCAGGGGATAACCTGAGAGGTGAGCAAGGAAGATCATGTTTGGGTCTTCCCTCGCTGAACTTTAACCATTCTTCCGAATCTTTTAGAAGATAATGGGGAACGGGATTTGACTTGGTTGACCAAGTAGTTCGAGGTCGAGAGGGAGCGGGAGCGTAAGAAACTACGGGAGGAAAGCCTATTGTTCGGACAAATTCTTCATTTTCGGATAGGGGAAGAGTGGGGTCTTTTCTTTTATTGAAAGATTCCCAAAAACCTAATCTAAGATTCGCATGAGAACGAATGCTAGTGTCCGATAGGAGAGGGTCAGTTGGATTTTCTTCTTTGTTAACCAAAAGACAGGCATATAATTCAAATTTTTGTTCGAAATTGAACTCGTGGGTTGAGTAGGAAATTTGCGGAGTGGGTGCAAGTTTGATGTGAGGAGGGATGAAGCTAACTAAACGCTTTGGATTGATGGAGGAAAGTTCCTTTACAGAGGAGCCTTGACGAAAGATTGGAATTGATTCGAGATCCACTTCTTCCCTAAACAATCCTAATCGACATTTTGATTCGTGAGCCGAAAGTAAATTAGGACTTAATTGTTTAGCGCAGAGAGTGTACCTACAATTAAATTTACAGTTTCGATAGTTAACGTAAGTTGATGAATAAGTAATCGAGCTGTAAGTGGGGTAGTCATCGATGGAGGAAAAGTTTCTTAAACATGATGGAAAGAGGCAAATGAATTTATTGGGTTTCGACGGTGGGGTTAATTTCAAAATTGCGATCAAATTTTGCACGAAGATAACGCAATTGGTACAATACCAATGCTTACAAAAGTCGCATTCGATGGGGATAAGAGAGATTTGCTCACAGAAGAAGCAACGAATTTCATTAATAAATGAATCTAACTTTTCATGGGTGACTGAAGATTTTGAGATACCTTTAGGTATTTTCGGAAGAGGAACTGAATAGATAATTTCATCATGATAAAGGTTTAGAAAAAGTTTTTCTCTAATCATCTTTTCGAATTTCTGTCTGATATTTTTGAAATTCTCATTTTTCATTAAGACTAATTGTCTAACTTGCTTGTATTTATCGATCGAAACATGATCGGGAAGTTCAGTCGGAAGAGGAGCAGGGATTTCATTTGGGAAGAATTTAGGAAATTCACCGGGCTTTGGGTATTTATTCGTTTCGGAAGAAGTTGATGGTAAAAAGTTAGAGAGGTTCGACTTAACAATGATCTTACCTTGAGTTTCTTCTTCCATTTGATTCCGGAGAGAAATTTTCCTTAATTGGTTTGGATGAGAGGAAGCGATTGAATCTAAAGATTCAATTGAAACTGAACGTTTAAGAGTTTGTTGGGTAACCAGAGGAGATTGAAATTTAACAGTTTTTAATTCAACAGTTTTTCTTGGTGGTGAGTTGAGGTCGATGAGGGGATGATCGGGTTCGGTTGAAGAGGCAATTGGTCCAGGGATGTACCAGCAATCAGGGTCACTTTCATAACCACAGTTTGGAATAACAGATTTCAAGAGATGAGAATTAGCACGTTTGTTGGAGAAAGAAACAGGAACACTAGAAGGTGTGGGTGGTGAGTTCGGGTTTTGTCCATTTTCACTTTTGGTTAATTAGCTTTTTGACGCTAAATTGTTGATAATGGCGATGAGAGGGATGATTAATCTTGAGATGATTAATTTGATGAAGGCACTTAAAGGCACTTTGAGTCAACAGTTCGGAAGCACTTTTCACTTCACTGAAGATGGCGGAGGAAATTTTAACACTGAAGTGTTGGGGTGATGAAGGTGGAGAACAATTTAGTTGAACTTTATAATTTTCACAATTCTCAGAATTCTGGTGAATTACTAATAATTGAAACAAAATTAAATCTAAAGATTTTACTAAATTGAACAAAGAAAAATTTTCAAGGTGGAGATGAGAAATTAGGTTAATAAAAATCAACTTGACTCTAAATGACCAAAGAGTTAAATGAAGAGGAAACAAAGACAAAGGCGGGTAAAGGTAATTAGCGAAACTAACGCCTTCAACAGAGGAAAGGGGAAACTTAAAA